ATTGTAGAAGTGTGGAGTCGATTATTGGATTTTAGAGCAAGGCAAGTCTCTTGTTTAACCTTGTTAGAGGGAATTTATCCTCGTATGTGCTTTATTTGCTATATGCCATGGGTTATGGGAGCTACACACGTATAAGGTGACGAGCGTCTTATGATAGATTCTTATTTATGTCCGAGTAGACTTTGACACACAACATGCTTTAATTGTATTACTGGAGTTATTATTACCTGTTTAAATATTTTAGTTCATGTTGTAGACTGAGACTAGGCTTGCATAGAGTATCGAGCTTTGTTATTCTAGAAACATATCACGCTACTTGATTAGCCGCAAAAATTATATTTTCTCTCATGGATTACTCCCATGTTGTACTTATTTGTCCGGATTTTTTTGATTTCTTAGCTCGCACAAATATTCGTGAGTTAGGTTGATGTCCATCAAAAGTTTTGCTATTTTATGGGATCGGGTTGATCGCTTCATCACTACTCTTTTGGGAGTGGGCCGTTCGCCTCGACAAAATTTTGAGATATATTTATGAATTGACCCATTTGTCCCTCGGCAGTATTATGAGATGCATTTATGGATCAGGTCGTACGACCTCAGTGGTATCATGTAATACACTCTTATGGGAGTGGGTCGTTCACCTCAGTAGGATTATGAGATACATTTATGGGATTGGGCCATTTACCTCGGCAGTTCTATGAAACACTTTTATAGGATTGGATTGTTCGCCTTGGTTGCGTAATATTTTGATAGGTAGTCAGTGCATATATGAGTATCCTGACTCGGATTGGACGTTTTTAACTAACATTTGTCATTTATATTCCATTCAAGGTAATATTCTGTCATGCCCCAACCTTGGGAGGCGCGACCGACGCTCAATCGAGTGAACCCAACTGAGCAAGCCTCATCAAACACTACCCATCCAACTCGATATGAATAGGGAAACCATGCTTTCATTTATTTAGACAAGGAAAGATAGTACATTCAACATTTTAATTCATTTTATATCACAACATTAAATCGTAGTTAAGTGTCCAAGATTCCATACAGTTATAGTTTAAGAGAAAGCAAGAGTACAAGGTTACAACATGATTCATTGACCTATCCAATACCCGTACATAACCCACGCAAACGTCTACGGAGCCTCTAAGGATACAAATATAGTGATAACAACACCGGCAATAAGGCCCCGGCTATACCTCAAAATGGATATCTATAACAAAAGGTGTACCACATGACCCCTTGAAGGAGGAAGGGGCTCACCAAGATTTTGAGAAAAAAATGCTCTGTTACACACGATCGGCACTATCCGCTATGGAGACACCTACATTCATTTAAAAACGTAGCGCCCCCGGANTACAAAAGCAATTTAAGTCATAAGCATAGAAGGAAATTCATCATGTTTGGCATGTTAGTTCCAAAGTAACTTTGGCATGACAGTTAGGCATTTAGCACATAAATCATGTTCTCCACACATCTTCCATTTACAAGAATAGCGCATTAAACACATAAAGAAGTACTTACCACATACATTTTCACAACATCAATTCACTTAACATAACAAGCATTGCATCAGTCACGTTTCGAACTTACAACACTTACACGGGCACCATGGGAGCTCAATTTCTAAGAGGAGGGTTTTTTTGCCAAACATACCTTGTTTAAGCTTTCCTTAAGTTATTACGACGTTTCGGAAATTCTAGCAATCCCAATCTACTTTGAGACATAAGAAAATTGAACACAAATTAGGAAGGTATTCATGGTTTCAACTCGTTTGAGCATTTTATCAAATACTAGTTGTGCATCTTGATTTCAAATCTCTTTTACTAGGTTTCCTTCATTCCCCAACCCAATCTTTACTTATTTATGTTCAACAATCTTTTCACAAACCTAATTTGTACATGCATGTATATATAATAGTATTACACCCAATAATCATACCTCAATACCCCATCTTATACCCCAAACTCGAAATTGAAGTCTAATGTATAAAATCTTACCTCTTAGATGAAGAACTTGTGATTGGGTTCTTTGATTCTTGAAAATTGATGCAAGATTGGATGATTGAATGTTGGGTTCCTCCTTGTCTCCCTAAAATTCTCTCAACTCTCTCTAAAATCAGTAGAAAAATGACCCCAAATGAATCCCCAAAGACTTTATATTAAAATGGGGTCAGGTTTAAAATTTAGAAAATTGGAGCCCCGAACCAGGTCTGCGATCGCATTTGCGATCGCAAAGTGGAATGCAGCCCGCAGAATGGACTGCAAAAGTGCTCCCAAAATTTGAACATTCTATCTGGGTATGCGGCAGAAATGCGGTCCGCATACCCGTTCTGCGGTCGCATAATGCACCGCAGAACTGCTCCTTACAAAATTCCAAGGGAATTATGCGATGACTATGCGGTCCGCATATCGGTTATGCGATCGCATAATGGACCGTATATTTAACCTCAAATTTGACTAACACACTGACTCACTTTGCGGTGACTATGCGGTCCGCATACCTGATATGCGACCACATTCCCGACAGCAGAATCGCACTTTTCTGGAAAACATTATTTCTTGACTTTTTGTGCATAGTCAATCCAAAAAGGGTTCGAACTTATGAATTTATAACACATGTTCCTAACTTAACACCACGAGATTCGGATTTTTGAACAGAAATCTTCACGGGGCCTTACATATTCGATATTTGAGGATTTTGTATTTATTTTTCTACTGAGGACCATGTTTTACATATATATCTATTTTTGTTGCCTCTTCCTATGCTTCATACCTGTCTACTTTTATTGTACTTTGATTATTGGACCACTAATAAGTGTCGATGTCGATCCCTCACCACTACTTTTTCGATGTTAGACTAGATATTTACTGGGTACTAGTTGATTTACGTACTCATACTATACTTCCTCACTAATTGTGCAGGTACTGAAACTAGTACATTTGGTGTTAATACAGGCACGTAGGTGTAGCTGATTAGGAGAATTTGTGGTGAGGTGCATTCCATGTTATGATAAGCAGCACACAGAGTCCCATTCCTATTCATTTATCATATTTTGTCTATTTCCTATTCTAGATAGTTGTTGTAGTAGTATTGTATAATCCAGTAGATGTTCATGCACTTGTGACACTCGGCATTGGGGACTTAGACTATTGTTCTTAATTGCAGTTCTGTTATGATATCCAGGTCTTATATTTTGATCATATTCTGACTTTGAAGATAATGTGAATACTTTACTAAAAAAGGAACGATTTCGCTTATTTATTTCATCACATATTCTAAAATAGGTCATAGACTATCTGTTGGCATATTGATTGATTGTTGACTTACCTATTGGCAGCATTGAGCGCCATCAAGGCCTACGGTGGGGATTGGGTCGTGACATACAATCATGAGTTTTATGTTCAAACAGGGATTCAAAACCTACACATGATCTCTAACATGATTGAAGAGGTTTACGTAGTCATACAAACATATAAAGCATGATAGCAGGAAGCATGGTATCCAAAACAAGGCATGATACAACCTAAAGACTACTCGTATATATGTTCTTAACCTCGCATATATGTCGTTTCTCACGCATTTCAATTAAAAAAAATAACGACATATCCTAAGGGTTATTCCCTCACAATAAGATTAGGTAAGACATTTACCTAGTATGGCTAGTCTTCAACCTCAAATCGCGTCAAAGACCTTGCTCTAGACATCTAATAATGCAAACACAAGCAAATCATCAACCAGGTAAGTCAAACAATGATATAAGAAGCAATCCCAATCCACAAAGCTTCGATCTTAAGAATTTCAAAAACTCAAAAAAAAAGTCAACCCAGGCCTGCATGCCCAAAATTCAAAGCGAATACCAAATCTCGATGACCCATAACCTTCTTATCTTGTATTAAAATCTCATTAAAAATTTACCTCTCTCCAAGTCTAGGGTTCAAAATATGAGAGAATAAGCTAAAATCTGAAATTCTAATTAATAACCTAGATGCAGATGTTGCATTTGTGATCAAAAGTTCATAATTGCGACTTAATGTTTGCAACTGTGACCAAAGTTTGCAGTTGTGACTAGAAGCTTGCAAATGCGTTAGCAATTGCAACCAAAAGTTCGCAATTGCGAAATAAGAGCATCAACAATCCCAAACTCAACCACCTCGAATCACACTGAGCACCCCGGGACCCCATCAAAATAGTCCAATAACTCCATATACCCTATTATAACTTATCCAAAATCTCAAAACATGAATAACAACATCAAAACCAAAAATCAAAGATCGAATCCATTTCTTAAGTTGCAAATAATCAAACTTCGTCGAATGCGTGTGAATCACACATAGACATTCCAGATAACAATCAAACTTTGCACACATGTTCATATCAACCATTATGACATATCTAAGGTGTCAAAACCACAATAGGCGTCCGATAACACCAAAATCAACTCCTGGTCAAACCTATGAACTCTCTAATTCTTCAAATTGCTAGCTTTCGAATAATAGAGCCAAAACCTTCTAGGAACATCCAAATTAAAATTCAAACATACACCCAAGTCTAGAATCATCATACAAACCTAGTTAAACCATCAAATCTCAATTCCAATATCATTTACTTGAAAGTCAAACCTTTGTCAACTCTACTAACTTAAAGCTTCCAAATTGAGAATCAATCCATCAAGTTAATCCCGAACATTGCGAACATAAAAAATATTCACATACACAAGTCATAATACATCATATGAAGCTATTCTAGGTCTCAAGCCACCAAATGGAAATGCTAAAGCTCGAATCAACAGCGAGTCATTACATTCTCCCCAACTTAAATATACATTCATCCTCGAACGTGCCAAGAGTCACCCCAAAGCCATCAAATCACTATATAAGATAATCATATACATACCTATTGGTGATCTCTAAGATCTGATTCTTGTATATATATACTATATTAATCCCAACAAGCTTTATCAAGCCATAAATATACTACCAAGATATAACCACAAGATGTACCACATAACTCTTGTACTCATTGCAATATCTTTCGACCACAAAAGCTGCTAATTACTAAATCCGACACCGATAATATACCTCATATCAATTAAAACCTCGTTTCAAACATTTTCTAAGAGTGCTATCAATGAAAGAAACATATAGAAACTCATAATCAACTATCATATCAAAAAGTCATGGTGTTCTCTTGTCCGACAAGAACTATTGCCAAATTCCTCACTGACTAATGGCAGTCTTCTTCTTCCAAACATACCTTATACAAATCCCATTGCACTAATTTCGGCAACAATAACCTCGTCTCACCCGGTACAATTTTCTCGACTGACAGGTCACATCAAATGCCATCTAGAACTGCGTACGACGCAATATGTGAGCCAAACAAGGAACAACTCGAATATGACCAACAATGTAAAGAGAATCAAATAAGAGAACTGTCCAACAAGTTCAATAAAAATAACAACAAAATAATCATGTCGTGAACCAATCCCACAAGGGAGAAAAAAGACACACAAAATAAGCATAGACTGTGTCAAATCATAATCCCGATGCAGTGCATAACCCGATCTAACATATCAATCCACATAGAATACTCATTGAGCCATAATGCTCAAAATCAACAAACACATGTGTACCAAAAACAAACACGTAAAGTGCATCAACACAACCATGGGGAGACGGATAGCATAATATACTACAAACAGGCAAAGCATAACTAAGGTGCAATAAGCAATTCAATATCTCAAGAGCCATTTCGCTCAAATATCACCACAAGGCATAAACATGACCACATCATGCGTGTGAATAATCAAGTCATCTCATAACTCATTATAGCATAATAGAATAACACATGAAATACATTAGGGTGTGAATAAGATTATCTCCACCTGATGACACACCATAGAAAAATGTTGATATGTACATAAACCCAATCCAGTGTAAAATATACATGCTCATTAGGCCTACCAATGGGACTCCAAACCAATTTGAATCATTCCAAAATATATAAATAGCCTCCCCAAAAGTCTACAATGACCATGTCCATGACACAATCAATCAGTTGTGAATCCTGAGCACACTTCCACAGTCTGTAATCAAAGGTATAGTCTGTCTCTACTAAATATAATCTCCAAACTACGATAGTACAAGAATATTTATACCTAATCTCTAAGTCTCCTACTTAAAATATTTATACGTCACGCATACACAATCACCCCATAGAGATAGTCCCATAACCTTTCGCACCAAATAGGAAAACTTGAACATCAACAACTACCGACCAACTCATTTCTATAGTACAAGTAGAGCAGCTATAAGTCAATACACAATGCGTATTGTGCAACACACACTCTCCTCAGGTGATACAAGATATTGCTAGCATTTCTTTTAATATCTGAAATCTCTCGTGCTATCTAGAACTCATGATATTCCTTTCAAAACTAAACAGCAACCTCGTCCATTCAATCCCAATTCCACATACACTACTAAAGAAAGCTGAAATTAGCTACGAACGTCGTCGCTAATCTGTCGCTAAATCGCCCGTAGCTAGTAGAATTTCTTAATAATCTGTCACTAATCTGCCACTAAATGAGATTAGAGATGGATTTCTCTATTTAGCTACAAGATTTGTTCGTCACTAAAATTAGATTTTTTAGTAGTGACAGTTTACTATGTCTATCATGCTATTATGCAAAAATACGAGAATCTTGTTATCAACTCTAAATTACGAATATGATACAAACTTCATCGACCAAAAACCTTCCACTTGACTCAATTCAGGAGAGAATCACAATATGCAACAAACTTGCCTATAGAAGACACCAACTACAGGTCGTGGTCAAAATTGTCACAAACTCTTAGAATCCGTTTTTACATAACCAAGCCATCAAAATTAAATCTTACTAGATAAACCAAGTCATGCAGACTACCAAACCCAAAAGTGTTGACATAAAATACCTGCATAGCCTTATCATACCAAAGGAACTAATTATTTTTATTACCATGATGATCTAAGCCACTATTAAGTTGACCCAACTTCTTCAAATTTCCTCTTGACTTTCCTTCAATATAGCACTTCTCTTTCCTAGCACACTATAGATCTTAATCAAGACTGATTCCAGGTGTGACGACCCGGCCGGTTGTCTTAAGAATTAATACCGCGATCCCCCTATTAACTGCTTTTCCCGTATTTATTTCTACTATTTTGATTTGTCGGGATGTTTGGTTTTGAGTTTCGGAGAGTTTTTGGACACTTAGTCCCTAAATGAGAGCTTAAGTGTTGGAAATTTGACCATAGTCGGAATAATGTGAAGACGTGCTCGGAATGGAAATCTGATGGTTCTATTAGCTCCGTTGGGTGATTTTCGGGTGAGGAGCGTGTTAGGATTGTGTTTTGGAGGTCTGTAGCTAATTTAGGCTTGAAATGCCAAAAGTCAAAATTTTAAAGTTTCCGGTTCGATAGTGAGATTTTGATCTGAGGGTCGGAATGGAATTCCAGAAGTTGGAGAAACTCTATAGTGTTGAATGTGACGTGTGTGCAAACTTTCAGGTCATCAGACGAGGTTTGATAGACTTTTTAATCGAGAGCGTATTTTTTTAGAGTTTTGGAATTTTTAGGCTTGAATCTGTGGTTTATTCGTCGTTTCAATGTTGCTTTAGGTGTTTTAAGGATTGGTATAAGTTTAGACGGTGGTATTATACTTGTTGGTGCCTTTGGTTGAGGTTCCGGGGGCCTCGGGATGATTTCGGATGGTTGACAGAAGGATTTTGGAGTTTGGAATTGTAGCTTTAGCTGGTTTTCTGTCATCACCGCACCTACAAGTGTAGGATCGCAGGTGCGGAGCCACATAAGCGGCATTTGGCATCGCAAAAGTGGAAATTGGGAGGTTCAGTAGGAGCTGCAGAAGCGGTAGAATTTTTGCAGGAGCAGTACCACATCTACGGATGGGGAGTGGCAGATGCAGAGTTAGGCTGAGTTAGTGATTGTCACAGATGCGACCATTGGTCCTCAAAAGCGGGATCACAGATGCGGTCCCACGGCCGCATATGCAAAAATTGCTGGGTAGAAATATATAAATACTTGCCTTCGAGAAATTTAGTTATTTTTCACCATATTTCAAACGGAGAGAAGCTTGGGAAGCATTTTGCAAGAGGGATTTTTAAAGGAGTTCATTGGGGTAAGGTATTTGGTCCCTAAACTCATTATTGGAATGATTTTTATCAATTTAAGCATGAAAAATTAAGGAAAAATCAGTGGTAATTTGGGGGTTAGGGCTTGACTAAGTAGAGGCCTTTGAGTGATGATTTGAGGGACCAATTGAGGTCCGATTTTGGTACTTTTGGTGTGACTGAACTCGTGAGAGTGTGAGGATTTTGGAAATGTAAATTTTACCAGATTCCGAGACGTGGGCTCAAGGGGTGTTTTAGTCATTTTAGCTAATTTCACGTATTAGCTTAGAATTTAATTATAGAATCAGTTACTTGAAGTGTTATTTACATTATGAAATTGAATTGAATAGATTTGGGCCATTTGGAGTCGAGTACTCGTGGCAAGAGCGTGGTTTCGGATTGATTGAGTTGGTTCGAGGTAAGTGGCTTGCCTAACCTTGTGTGGGGGACTTTCCCTTTAGAATTTGGTATTACTATTAATTGAAATGTCTTGTACGTGAGGTGACGAGTGCGTACTTGTGCTAATTGTTGAAAATCCGATTTTTCATTAAGTAATTACTAGTATGTTTCTTTTTCTGTTTTTATTACTTGCACTATTAAGCTTGTGGTTAGCTTAGGAAAGCATGTTTAAGTAATTTAATTGCTCAAACTGCCTTATTTGAATTCTATGTAGCATGTTAGGCTAGAACTACTTGTTTGCCCTAATATGAAATTTGACATTTCTGAATANCATTTGGGACTACGGAACGGGATTTCGGTAGATCCCCGTGCACTATGAGTTGGACTACGGGACGGGATCCCGAGAGATTCATTGGATATGTATATTTGGGACTATAGGACGGTATCCTTGGAGATCCCCGATTGTTATTTTTGGTAGTGAGTCGTATTTCTCTCTGTGTACTTTGCCTCTGTAGTAGTTGTTGCTTTCCTTTATCCTTTATATCTTGTGTTGCTTTTACTGTTGTACTTATTTATACTATTTTGTTATACACTGTCGAACCTTATATTTTTATTTAACCTCAGTAGGGCCCTGACCTTCCTCGCTACTATCCCACCGAAGTTAGGCTTGGCACTTACTGAGTACCACTGTGGTGTACTTATGCCCTTTCTGTGCATGTTTTTCATGTGCAGATCCAGGTACTTTGACTCAGACTTACCATCCTTAAGGCGAGGCGACCCTTCTGAGACTTAGAGGTATATCTGCCGCGTCCTCAGATCGAGGAGTCTCTCTCTATTCTCCCTTGTAGTTACAACCCTTATGTATTTACTTCGTTTTAGACTATTCTGGAGTTAGAGCACTATATAGTATCCTTAGCTTGTGATTCATGGGTTTCCGGATTTTGGGAATATGTACTAGCCTTTGAGAGTTAAATATTATGTATGCCGAGCGGCATTTTTAAACGTTGTTTTATTACTCTATTTCTATTTTAAATTGTTTTCTTCTGCGAATTTGTATATCTTCCACATTTTAGGCTTACCTAGACATAGAGACTAGGTGTCATCACGATGGTTCACGGAGGGCAAACCGGGGTCGTGACAAGTTGGTATCAGAGCTCTAGGTTCATAGGAGTCATGAATCACAAGCCGGTTTATTAGAGTCACATTTATCGGTATGGAGATGTTTGTACTTATCTACGAGAGGCTATGTAACTGTTAGGAAAACTTCCATTTTATTTGATTTTCTTGCCGTGCGATATTTTGGACATCACAATTCTAAATCTCTGTCTTCTATTCTCTCACAGATGGTGAGGACACGCACTACACGAGATGATCAAGCGCCCGCACCCCTTACTACAGCCGTTAGAGATCGGGGCCGGGTAGAGGCCGAGGACGCGCACGTGGTGCAGCCAGAGCACCTGCGCGAGCTGCCACCGAGGAACCACCAGCAGTTCCAGCCGGAGTTTAGGCACCTGATATGCCTACTGCTATTACTACTCCAGTACTTCAGGAGACTCTGGCACAGTTCACGAGTATGTACACCACTTTGGCTCAGGCAGGGTTGCTTTCCCTTGCTGCAGCTACATCTTAGGCCGGGGGAGGAGCAGAGACTCCCGCTGCCCAGACTCCTGAGTAGCGAGTGCATGTTGAGCAGGTCCCTGAGATTATTCTTGTACAGCCTGCAGTCCGAGATCAGCCCGAGGACAGGGCAGCAGCTTCCAAGGATGAGCAGTTGAGGCTTGAGAGGT